ATTATTATTATTATTATCTAACCCTGTAAACACTGTATAGATGTCTAACCCTGTATAGATGTCTAACCCTGTATAGATATCTAACCCTGTAGATACATTTACGTTTTTCACGTCGGGAGGACGTCCCAAAGCGCTTCACAGAACACACTGTAAAGTGAATTGACTGTATATTTGTGGGCGAACGCGGCAGACAATTGCGCACAGCAATGTCCCACAAACAGTCGTAGATTGAAAATGACCAATTTATTATTGTTTTTTGTTTTGGAGGGATTATTATTAGGCGTGTGGAGTAAGGAAACTTGCCCAAGGTTTCGCCCTCTGCCTGGAATTGAACTCAGGTCTCTCGCTTGCAAAGCGAGTGCTCTAACCACTGAGCTACAGGACTCCACAATATAGATATCGAACCTCGTATAGATATCTAACCCCGTATAGATATCTAACCCCGTATAGATATCTAACACTGTATACACATTTGATGCGGGCGTGGTCCTCATCAGCACTTCTGGTGCTCAGGCCACAGTAGGGGTGCAAGAAGGAGTACACTTGTTTGGGTTCCGGCAGTCAGTTGTCAGCCTTCATGAGTATCAGGCTTCCGGACTGTCCATATGGGGTAATTGGAGGCAGTGGCAATTGGTCGAAGAATACCTTGCTTTATCAGGGATTTAGTGGTGGCTTGGACATGCTCATGGGCTTCTGGAGGAAAGCAGTACTGCCTCTGAGGTACCAGTAGGTTAGGGCCAATAATTTCCACCTTCATCTTCCCACAGTCATGTTTATGCGTGGCAAATGCTATCAAATTGTCCTCAATAACTGCCTGTAACAGTACATCCAAATCATACTGTTCCGTCTTTTTAATGGAGTACACTGCTCCGTGGTCAGAAACCTCAATTGCGCATCTCTTAAGTTGACTCTGGGGACCTGTTTGCCAGGTCTATTACTATTATTACAGTCTGGATTGCACTGCCTGAAAGTGTGGTGGAAACAGATGCAATGACAACTTTCAAAAGGGAATTAGAAAGGTACTTGAAAAGGAAAAATTTGCAGGGATATGGGGAAAGAGAGTTTTGTGGCGAGATATTTAGTCCTCAACCCGTTCCAATTGTTCACCCTCAGGTAAGGAATTTGAACGGTAAACTACATATCATTTATTGCTAAACAAAACGACGGTTACAACAGTTAAAGGTTCAACACAAAACTGTGGAAAATGATTCAAGGATCAGTTTAATCAAGATCCTTACCCTGAAAGACCTGGAGTGACTTCTTGTTGTTGCTTGTAGTTCTTACCTTAGGTACATAGCTCATCTGTCGCAGCCACAATCTCTCCCCTACCGTTGCTTACTCAAGCTTTTGTAGCCCATTTTTCCCATAATCCGTAGATTATTTGTGAGTCTTTCATTGACCAAATAAGGACTTGTTTTTCTACCCTGGACTCATAGTGTCCAGAGTCCAGTTTCAGTCAGTTCCATTCATTTGATCCAATCTTTTGTCAAACAAGTTGGTGTTAGGCATCACCTTTGTCATAGCAAGTTAGTGTTGGACATCGCATTTTGCCTTGCAAATTGGTGATATGCATATCCTGAGGTCATTCGACTTGCCGTTTTTCAGCTTGCAGCTTTGGCAGCTTAAAGGTGTCACTGTGAATTAAACCGCCTTCTCTCTCATGAGATCCCTCCAGCAAGCACAGTTATTAATGTAAAATTTTCAGTGCTGCTATTTTTCTGACTCTCCCAGTTTCTTGCCATGAATCTGTACCTTGTTCTCATTGTAAGACTGGAAATCAGGAGCTGTTTCCCTCCATAGAGGAGAGGCTACAAGCAGATAAAACCAATCTGTCCTGCAGCAAATAATTTCTTCAAAGAAATAATGAATGCCTATCGGCATTACTGGAGGTTATTGGACGAGAGAACAACTGGACTACATTTCTTGTAGCGTATTGGCTAGAGCACTCGCCTTGGAAGCGAGAGGACCTGGGTTCAATTCCTGGGCACCCGATCGAGATTGATTGTATGCTAGAGTGGGTTACATTTGGGACTCCAGTCCTAGACGTAACCTAATCTAGCACCCAAATTTATTTTCCTCAGCAATCTGAGAGGATGGTTGCTTTCATGCTACCTGTAAGTGGTAACATTTGTTGATAAAATGCTAACTTCACCCACAAAATTCACAGTCCATTCAATTTACAATATATTCTGTGAAGGGCTTTGAGATGTCTCAATGAGATGATAGGGCGCCATATCAAATGGAAAGATTTTTATTGTTATTCTGCGAGGAGGTCAGCGGGGTGAACCTTTAAAACTGTAAATGTGATAGTTTTACTACAACAAGAGATTATAATAGAATCTAAAAGGATTAATCTAAATCCTATTGGACAAAGTGTAATGGCAGAATGGCAAAGCTGTGCCTTTAACAAACCAGCTGAGGTTTAACGTATTTATTATTCAGAGTAGACCATGAAATTGAGATTCCCCGTAGCCTCCTAATTCTCCATTGAACTGTTTCTGGTGCAGTTATTATAGGGCGGTTCTAAATCCTGCAGTCTTTTGCTGTTTTAAACAGGATTAAAATCTTTTGCTGGCCTCTAACAGGAGTGATGTAAATGCAGACACATTGCTGGTTCACACTTTTGCAAAGATTGTGGAATACTTTTTGTAATTTCAGAAATCAGAATGGAAATATTTGCATGCAAAATGGTCGGTAGAATGGTCTGACATCACCTGCAAAAAACCTTTTTCCNTTTAATTTTCAAAATTGAGTTTTGGAGAGTTAGAAACTTACAGGGAATCTCAATTTCATGGTCTGCTCTGAATAATAAATAGGTCAAATCTTCTCTGGTTTGTTAAAGACACAGCTTTGCCGTTCTGGACATCTTGTGGGCAAACCCGCTTCTTGGAACAACCTGCCTGGTTGTTTCAGTCTCTGCAGGCCTCATTCACAAGCGCCTGTGTCTGCGAGTACAATGATTCACTGGGTGGAAATGTAAATAGTGACTCTGCCGGTAGCTGGAAGTGTGTTACCCTGAATCCATGGTCACTTTGTTCCTGCGCTCCAAGGCATTGCGTTGGAGTGACATTCCTGCAAATTATTATGATGCACATCAAGTAACCTGCACTTTCTTATTGGCCTCATCTGTGCTGTTTGTGAATACTGCATTGAAACCCACAATGCTAGCAAGGCAGCACTGACTCTTTCAGTGCCTTGCTCCTGAACTACTTTAACCTTTTCCAGATTTTTATACTGACTGCATTTTTATAATAGTTATGAGGATTGGCTCCTTCCATCCAAATGTCTTTGTTCCCCACACTCCGGGCTAAATAATATCTCAGATTTTAGCAGGATAACAGGCTAAATGTCTTAATGGAGATGGGATTCTAAGTGGAGAGTAACACCAGGAAACTGTTGTTTCAAAGATTGTTAACTTCAATTTCCTGTGGATTAATGTGCAGGAGCTGAAATGACAGGATCACTGAGGCATATCATGTCACTACCACTCTCGCTTTGTCAACTCGTAGCCAGTTCCTCCAGTGACCACAGGAGCATTTATTATTTGAGCACAGTGGTTTATTATTTAAGCACAGTGGGTTTTTTTTAGAAAGCAAGAAACTAAGGCAGAAAACCAGCTGCTCAGTGACTCAGTGAGTAAACGCACAGTGTGGGGCGGGGCAGGGCAGTTCGGGGCGGTGTGGTCAGTCAGTTGTGGAAATCCAGACTTTTCTCAGGTCTGGGATGAGGAAGGCAGGTCAGAGGTCAGGTGTAACAACAACAACAAAGTTACATTATACAGAGCCTTTCACATCCGAAGTAAGCCCCAAGGCACTGGATATTAAGGGTTTGCACCCAAGCTGGGTGTTACAGTCAGCTCCTCAAGGTTATCAGGAGAAATGAGACCCAGGGTTTCCATTGTAACCATTGATTCTTGTCCAAGGCTTCAGATTCTACCCCCGTTACTTCTGGAACTCCCTCTCTCTACCACTCTATTACAGCCCTCTCTTTTTGTCTTTAAAATCCAATCTCTGAATATGCCTATAGCCACCTCCCCTTCCCCCCCTTTCACGGTGTCCAACTCCCTCTCGGTGAAACGTTCCAAAACGTAAAGGGTATGTCTAGATGCAAGTTGTTGTTCTTGCTGGTCTGTGTGGTACATCCTGATTATTGTTTGAAAATAAATGTAGATGGAAGAACTTGTTGTGTATATTCGGACATCAGAATTGTATAATCCTAAAATCTACCAAGCTGTAATAAATTGGCAGAACAGGCTGGATGGGTTGAATGGACTCTTTCTGATCCTATGTTCCTATAGATCATTGAGGCTATCGTTGGTGGTCTCTATAGGCAGGAAGTCACTGTATGGTGACTTCAGCTAAATGCTGAATTTACATTTGATACAGCACCTTTCACTTTGGGAGGACTTCCCAAAGTGCTTCACAGAATTTACTGTAAAGTTCAGTGACTTTGTGTTTTGTGGCCGAACCCGGCAGCCACTATTGCACAATCAATGTCCCACAAGCTGCCTTAGAGTGAGTGACCAATTTTTATTTGGGGGGTATTTGTTGGCCAGAACACTGGCAGAAATTCCCTTTTTTCCAATTGGATCTTTAACGACAACCTGGACAGGCTGATAGAACCTTGGTTTAACCTCGCATCTGAAGGGCGACATCTCCAATGTGGCGCTCCCCCAGCACCGCATTGAAGTGTCATCTTAGACTATATGAGCTCCAAATCCTGACATGGGGCTTGAACCCACTCTCGTACTCAGAGGCAAGTGCTAAAAATTGAGCCAGGCTAACGCACAATCATTTACATCCAGAATAAACCCATAATAAGCATAAACCAACAAAATGAGTAAAGTAACCAATCAGCAGATAATCTAATCGGAGTTACCAGGTTAATGTTCTGAACGCTGCTTGGTTAGAGCTTGTCTCCAAATCCTTGCTTCCCTTGCTATGACTGAAAGTGCCTGGGTGTATCTGTGACACTGACGACCCATTTCTTATTTTTTCCAGATTAAAGTGACTTCTGCCTATTACTCCACCAGCCGGGATTCCGATAATAAAAAGGTAAGAGACTTTTTTTCAATATATGTTTCTTTGTGTGTATTTAGCATTTTGGATTAAATGTACCACATCGTCACTTTTTCACTGGAACTAAGACTCTCTCACAGTAAATGAATAAAGGGACGTTTTTATAGTCTCTGACCATGTCAGCCCACCTCAAAGTTCTTTGCTAATAATTACTGTTAAGTGTAGTGATTTGTTTTGTAGGCAATTTCTGGAGCTAATATACACACAGCAATGTTCCACACACAGTCATGAAGTGAATGACCAATTATTCTTAGGGTTGTTGGCCAGGACAGCGGGAGAAACTCCCTTTTTTTCGGTGTCATAGCATCTTCAACATCCACTTGAAGAGTAGTTAGATGGCACCTCTAAATAGCTTAAAAAGATGATTAGAGTTGAAGTAGGAACCTTGTTTTCATACAGAGAACTGTGAAGATTTGAAAGCCCTGCTGGGATGTTTAAAAAGAGATTGACAGAGACTGGGGTAGTAGATATTCGGGTATGTTGAAAGATTGGGCATTGGCATTAAAAGATATGTCAAGATCAAATTAAGTGGAACAGTCTGCATGGGCTGAATGGTCTCAGTCTGTGTCGGTTTTTCCATGTTCCTATTGCACTGAAGTGTCAGCGTGGATTATGTTTGAGCTCCAAGTCCTGACCTGAGTTGGAACATAATCTATGAGAGGTGCCCAGAGATGAGAGTGCTGTCAACTCACCATGCTTATACATGGCTTTGATCGATCCACAAGAGGACTTTTCTGTGAGGCGCCAATAACCTTCAAAGTTATGTAAGGACGATCAAGACAGATGATCATCCTGCCACAGCTGCCTTGCTGGCACCTGGTAGGCATGACACACATTCCTTTTTTGAATCAAGGTTATATTTCTGAGGAGCCAATCTCAGTCAATTGGGCCAAAGCCTCACAATCACATCTGATCCTGTTACAGATGCAGTTTATAATCCTTGCTTAACATCTGGAAAAAATAGACCTCTTGGCATAGGCTGTCAGTGCTGATTCAGTAAAAGCGCTGGACAATATACAGTAAACTTGTGATGACTCATCACTCCAAGGGAAAATGTCTCAGTGGCAAGTTACGCATATGTATAAATACAAAGATAAAATCCGGCTGAGATATTTAGTCCTGTTCAGGTAAATGTTGAAGATCCCATGGCACTATTGGAAAAGAAAAGGGAATTTCTCCCAGTGTCCTGGCCAACAATCCCCCAAATAAAATTGATTCACACCATGGCTCCTTGTGGGACATTGCTGTGTGGAATTGACTGCTGTTTGCCTCAAAAATACACAAGTCACTTTACAGTGACTCTTCTGGATTACTTTCAGATGTCCTCTCGACATGAAAGGCGTGATATCTCAAATAATTATTTTATTTTCTGTAATGTGTGTATATGGGAGAGGAATTGGCTTTACACTGTGAACAAAGTGAGGATCTCTTAAAAGCATTGTACTTTGGGCAGAAACATCTTTTTCATCTACTTCTGCCGTGCATTCGTTAGAAGTGTAACTTTGCATATCTCACTTATATCTACGGTATCTTACTGCGCTTCTGGTTTGCCTCATATTGATGCAGTGTACTGCAGTATGCATAAGGATCTCATCAAAGGCAGATGACAGTTAATGCTTAATTGTCAATGTCAAGGACCTGTGGTCCTGTAACAATGAAACTCCTAAACTCTTACTCTGGTTTTAAAAGGAGGTTGGATATGGGTATAATAATCTCTGCATTTCGTATAGCACGTTATCACATCATTGAGACATCTTGAAGCTCTTCACAGAATTTTATTGCAAAGTGTTTCTGAACGCAGCAGCCAATTTGGGCACAGCAATGTCCCACAAACATCCAGAAAGTGAATAAACAATTTTATCTAAAGAATTGTTGGCTAGGAAACCGGGAGAATTCCCCTTATATTTTTGTTTGGTTCTATTGGGTTTTTAACATCCACCTTAACAGACAGACAGGACCTCGGTTTAACATCTCATCCAACGGACAGCACATTGGACACTGAGTGCTCCCCCAACACTATCCGCCTAGACTCGAAAAGTCCTATAGTGGGATTTGAACCCCAAACTTCTGAGTTAGAGGTGAGAGTGTTATTGACTGAGTTAGAATGACATTTGGGACAACAGAACCATAGATATTTATAGCACAGAAGGCAGTATTGGCTCTGTACTGGCTTTTTGAGGAATCGATTCAATCCCGTTTACCTGCTCTTATCAAAAATATTAGACTTCTGGTAGAGGCAATGGGAAACAAAGAGATAATTATTGCTCTGGAAAAAGTCTTGATATATAAAGATTTAAATATCTAGGATACAGGATTAATAGTTGTCATGCTAAGTACCCAAAGTAACCCAACAGAAATGTTGATAAAAGCACAGGGCACTGTGCCAAAGGGCACTCAACAACACCAACAACAGCTTACACTTATATACAGCTCCCTCCACGCAGGCAAGCATCTCAGAGTGCTTAACAGTGGCAGAACCTGACTCCATAACATATCTCAGCGAAATTGCATATAATGTGTAGTTTCAAGAACCTTCATAGTTTAGGCCACAACAGAACAGGTAGCAGCTCGTTTATGTTATGGACAAGATGGAGTCCAAAAGCCCATTCTTCCAGTTTCGCACCAAGATATCCTTTTGTTTCTAGTTTGTGGGGCAGGAACCAGGAAGTAGCATCAGAGGGGAGAAACAAGGAAGATAGAGGACTCAGAGAGACAAATAACTTTGGAATAAAGAGTAGTCCAGAAAGAGGAGGGATCAGACAGGGGAAAATGCAAAGCAGACAAAGGCAGTTTTAGAGTGCATGTGCGGATTGTGACAAATAAGGTGGGTGAGCTGCAGGTGAAAATTGTCACATGGGATTATGATGTAGTGGCAATAAAGGAGACTTGGCTCAAACAAGCCCAGGAATGGGAGCTTAACATTTCTGGCTACAATGTATTTAGGTGGGATAGGGAAGGAAAAAGAAGTAAGTGATCAAAGATACTGTTATAGCCCAGAAAAGTAGACAGAATCTATTTGGTTAGAGTTAAGGAGCAGAAGAGGAGCTATTACACCACTGGGTATATATTATACACCATCTGTCTTCACAAAAGAAGAGGATGCAGCTATTGCCACAGTATCGGAGGAAAGGATAGAGAAATTGGATAGGATAAAAATAAACAGAGGAAATACTAAAAAGATTGACGGTACTCAAGATAGATAAGATACCTAGGTTCCTGAGTAAGGATGGAAATAGCAGAAGCTTCAGCCACAATCTTTCAATTCTCCTTGGATGTCAGGATGGTACTAGACAACTGGAGGGTTACAAATGTTACACCCCTGCACAAAAAGGGGGAGAATGATAAACCTGGGAACGTCAGTGGTGGGGAAACTTCTAGAAACAAGAATCAGGGACAAAATTAATTCTCACTTAAAAAAATGGGTTAATAAAGGATAGCCAACACAGATTTGTTAAAGTCAAATCATGTCTGACAAACTTGATAAGAGTGTTTTGATGAAGTAGCAGAAAGGGTGGATGAAGGTAGTGTCGTTCATGTAGTATATATGGATTTTCAAAAGGCGTTCGATAAAGTGCAATATAATAGACTTAGAAAAATTGAAACTCATGGTTTTAAAGGGACAGTGGCAGCATGGATACAAAATTGGATGGGAGACAGAAAGCAGAGAGTAGTTGTGAACTGTTTTCCAGACTGGAGGGAAGTATACAGTGGTGTCCCCCTGGGGTCAGTATTAGGACAACTGCTCTTTTTAATCTATATAAATGACCTGGACGTGGTTATAGGGAGCTCAATTTCCAAATTTGCAGTTTATGCAAAGCTAGGAAATGGTGAGGAGGATAGTAGCAGATTGCAGGAAGCCTTAGACAGACTGGTGACATGGGCAGACACATGGCAGATGAAATGTAATGTGGAGAAATGCGAAGTGTTGCATTTTGAGAGGAAGAATGAGGAAAGGCAATATAAACTAGATGGTACAATCTTACAAGTGGTGCAGGAACAGAGAGACCTGGGGGTTCACATAAGAAAATCTTTGAAGGTGGCAGGACACGTAGATAAAGCTGTTAAAAAAGCATTCGGGATCTTTGGCCTTACAAATAGGAGCATAGAAATCAAAATTAAGGAGGTTGTGATGAACCTTTATAAAACGCAGGTTAGGCCTCAGCTAAAGACTGCGTTCAGTTCTAGGCACCACATTTTAGGAAGAATGTCAAGGCCAGAATGGTACCAGGAATGAGGGACTTGAGTTACGTGGCGAGACGAGAAGCTAGAATTGTTCTCCTTGGAGTAGAGAAGCTTAAGGAGAGATTTAATTGACGTGTGCAAAATTTTTGAGGGGACTCAATAGGGTGAACAGGGAGAAACTGTTTCCACTGGCGGGTGGATCAGTAACCAGAGGATGCAGATGTAAAGTAGTTGTCAAAAGAACCAGAGGGGAGATGAGGAGAATTCTTTTCACACAGCGAGTTGTTTGGATCTGGAATGCATTGCCTGAAAAGGTGGTGGAACAGATTCGATAACATCTATCAAGAGAGAAGTGGATAGATATTTGGGGAGGACAAATTTGCAAGGCTATGGGGAGAGAGTGGGGGAGTGGGATTAATTTGGTTAGCTCTTTCAATGAACCGACACGGGCACAATGGACCGAATGGCCTTCTTCTGTGCTGTATGATTCTATGATTCACGGTGGCCCAACCTTTTGGCTGCCGTGGGTCGGATTCCCTATTTGAGAAAAGATAGATATCTATAAGATAGAAAAGATAGGTGGGCCAACTGGCCACATCCAGCGTGGGCCAACTGGTGGACAAAGCAAGTGGGGGGGCGATTAAGGACCAAAAAGGAACATTTCTTGTGGAAGCAGAGGGCCTGGCTGAGGTCCTGAATGAGTACTTTGCATCTGTCTTCACAAAAGAGGATGCTACCAATGTCACAGTAACGGAGGAGGGGGTAGAGACTGGCCGGGTAACTACAGGCCAGTC